AATCATAGGAAATCGAATTTTAGATTACTCTGACATTTGTAATATTTGCAAAGGGACTTTAACAATTTTATGGGTCTCAAGAAATTGAAAAAATACAATTATTTGTCATGAATAAAACGAGAATGATATAAGAAAAAGGAAAGAAAATGAAAACTTCTGCATAAAAAATAACTTGTCGCTTTATATTATACATAAAAACCGATATTTATATTCGAGATATTTATGACCTGGAAAATAAAGAACAACTTATATCAATAACGAGATACAGTACCAAACACATATAAACGAAATTGCCGATTAATAATAAAAATAATCATTAATCGAATTAATCATTGCAAAATTCGTAACAGGTTTACAAACGAAATTACTAAGAAAATTAATCAAATTATCATCTATCGTAACTAACGAAACTAAATTCGTAAAATTAATAATTAAAAAGAACTGGGCGAAATTTCGTTAAAAATTAGGACCACTAGAGGAATATTTTCGCGGGAAATAGCGAAGATCGATTCGCGGGAGCACAATGTAGTCCAGAGAAATTTGGCCCGTGTTGGAATCGGGCGAATTTAAATTCGCACATGCTCGAGCACGGATTTTAACTGGAAAATGTCGGAGAATGCAAGACGAATCGGCCAACGCCGCTCAGAAGCGTATTATCAGTTCGTTCTGTGCTCATAGGAAACCGCAATTTCCACGGATTACACGGACGAAAACTGACTCTCGTGACTGTACAGCGCCGGCCAGGCTAGTGGAATTCATGGGTCGCGGGTTATGCCGCATTCGGTGGTATGTAGTAATTAGCAACATTGCTTGCAGAAGCCAAAGGTGGAAGGAGGACCAACTGCAGGATCGGCGTATCGCACAGCGCGGATTTCATTCGAAGGAATATAACGCGGGACCACGATGTTATCTTGCAAATTACTGTTACTATGCGGCTCATCGATTGTTTCAGCGCGTGCCGGTTATCACGATTGACGGGATTCTTCTAACGTTCGAGATTTTTCCGACGTTCCTCGTGAGGTAATATATTTTCCGATGGAAATTTAAAGGGAGAAAAAGAAAAGGCAATATAAAAAGTTGGAAAATTATTTTTTTAAATTCGGCGATTTCACAGCTAAGATATTTTGTATCGTAGATGAAAAATAGCGAAATTTGTTTATTATAAGGATAATAATATTTCAAATATTGTCCAACTGGTGGCTCTAAAATAATTTTTACAATTTTATGGAAAAAATATAGGTAATAATATTTTGTATGTATTATTACTAATATGTGCAACAAAATTGTTAACACTAAACTTGTCAGGATACAAATGGTAGTTTTTAAAATTTTAATATAAAAATTTCATATTCGAACTTTTATCACTTGTCTTTGCGATTTTTCTTTTAACATAGGCGTAATAAATTTTTCAACATCCCCTCGTGTTCCATATTTTTTAAGTTTCTCTTATTTTATTTCTTCGTCCACCAGTTATTTAGCCAGTCATGGCAGATTTAATGTCAATTCCCAAATATTATTTTTAATATTAATAACAATATTATAAATTTGCAAATATTATTACTAATATTGATAATATCGGTATTGAAGATAAAAATAAATTTAATCAATCACACGCAATAATAATTGTATCGATGCTTTCCAATATCGAATAGGGTCCTTAACTATTTAAGAGTCAATTAAAAAAGCTGAATTTACATAAAAAAAATTATCGTGCCAAGTCATAGCCATTATTATAGGTTAGTAACAAATACCAGTGTCGATAATGTCAACGCTCCACTAGCGCCACTGCAGAGATACTTGATTAGTCACCTGATCCCATTTTCGCCGATAAGAATAAAAACCTAACTAATTTATAATATTACAAATATCTATCATTTTATTATTTTCAAAACAAAACTTTTATTTTCGAAATACTCCTCTACTGTAAAAATATATTAGACATACTGATAGGTGGAATAGGAATATTCTTAGAATTCGTGTTAATAACGTGTTTGCTACAATGAAAAATTCAGAGATAAAATCCAGAATAATTTAAACTACGAGACTGACGTATGAAGAACAATGTAGACGCTTTAATGTTTCATCTGACACGATAAAACCGGTGGAGACGTCTCGATTGCGCGAAAAGTTAACGCGGCCATTCTACCACGTGTTCTTAATATTAAATTTCATGAAGTCTCGAACATCTGTAGCTGAATTATCGCTCTAGTTCGTTGTTTCCCTGGTGGAGGCAAAAACCTCCAGGGCCGAACGCAAGAAGAGGAAACAATTCCAGGGTTCCTCGTCTGTGACTTTTTTTAGTATCAGTTTCTACCTGCCGGCTGAACTTCGACAAAACTGCGAGAGCAACTGACGCTAATGCAACTTCGTAGGTCGTTATGGAAAGAGCTTAAAATGCAGATTCGCGTGTTACTATTATAAGAAGGAATGCAGAAGAGCGACGGGGACAAAGATTAGCCCTTTGCAGGGAGATCCGGAGAGGTGTTCCTGGAAGTCGTAAAAGTCTGGAAAGTACGGTTAAGGAATCATTGGAAATATCGAAGTCAGAAAATCGAATAAATTAATGAAATTAAAATTGATTACCTTTCTCGCAAAAAGGAAATAAGAAAAAAAGAAAAATTAAGAAAATATAGTGAAGATTTATAAAAGACAATGGAAATGTGTAATGTACATTGATTATTAAATCGTATATAAGTAAAGCTTAGCATAGTAAATCTTAATATGGAAAAGCTCGATGCGGTAAAGCGTAATATAGGAAAGCTTAGTGCAACAAAACTTAGTATAGCAAATTTCGGAATAGTGAAGCTCAGTATAACAAAATTCAATGGAGCAAAGCTCAGTACAATAAAGCTTAATATAACAAAGTTAAATACTGCAAATGTAGCACACCAAAGCATAATATAACAAAGCTCAATGCAACGAAGGTCAATGTAGGAAAGCTCTAAGTAGAGAGAAGCTTAGTATAGCAATATTAAATACAATAAAGCTTTGCACAACAAAGCTCAGTGCAGCAAAGCTTACTGACGAGACTCAGTATAGTAAAGCTTAGCATATTAAAGCTTAGTGCAGCAAAGATTTGTGAGTAGAAGAAATCTCTGTATAACAAATCATAGTAAAGTCTAATAAATTGAAGCTTAGTACAATAACGCTCCGTACTGTACAATTTAATATAGTAATACATAATGTAATAATATTCAATGTGGTAAATATTATAGTAATCCTTAAATATGGCAATAAATAATTAAGGTTTCCCTAAAAATTAAGTTTACAACAATCAAACTTTTTATAATAATCACTTTACCGAAAAGTAATAAAAAATGTTATTAAAGAACTAGTTAATAAAAAATAAAGAAAATAGATAATTGTTTATTTTCACCGCCATGAAAATCCACAAAATTACATTTGTTATTAAATGACATAATATTTTAACATAAACAAATCTAGTTGTATACCTTTTTTCCACTTTTATATCACATTATATTAAATTTCTTCCGTATACTTATAATTGCAATTATATTTTATTTTAATAATTTAACATAACCAAAATACAATAATCTAATATCGATTATTAAAAACAAGCAAATTTATTTGAAAATTAAACAAAAAGAAAATCACGATTCATCCTATTTAATAATTTACACTCATGCTTAATTAAACTAATGAGACAAGTATAGCAGATTTGTTTTATGTCTATACGAAAATCATCAATGATGCGCGATCTAGCGTATGTTTTTGGAATTAATCAAAGAAGAGGTCGGTAACTGTTATTAATTTCAATGCTAAACAGTTCCAAATATTTACGTAATACATCTTTTCAGGTAAATACCAAGAGAAATATCGAATGAATAAAATTACTTTGATGTTCTACAGTTCAAAAATCAAATTTAACAGTGTAACAATCTGCCACGCTATTTCTGAAAATTTCGATAAGACTGTTTATTTATATGAACATCTTTGACGCTCTATCTTATCACTCTCCATTTCTATATTTTCTCTTGATAAATCTGCACACTTCGAGTGATACATTTATTCATGGATTCTAAGGGAGTAATTTATATTCCGTCACTTTTCACTTCTAATTCCGAACTACATACATCAGGCGATACTTATCAACATTTCCATGTTGAATGAATCAAATTTAAATTTGCCATTAGATTATATAGAATTCTAATTATTTATTATTGAAATCGATTGACTAATTAAGTTGTCTAATTATGGACTGAAACTTCGCTTTCTGCTACACCAAGTATAATACTTTCTCATATTTGCATTATATATACATAATACAGTAATATAAATCTGTATGTTTGTTATATGAATCAATATATTACTTATCTCCAGTGAAATATCATAATGATTTCTTTTTATAGAATATTATCCATTTTATCCCTCAAAAATTATATTTTAATATTACACATTTATAGATTTTTATTTATCTCATTGAATATCGAAAAATGTATTAAATAGTATTATTATTAAATTGCCATCCTTATTTTATTACACATACAATACAAAATAAACTTTGCGTTATTATTTTTATATTATTATTATCTTACGTAAATACAAACATTAACCTGCAAATATATGTGAGACGTATTTTATATTTTTACACTTGAGATGTAAATTTATATTTTTTTTATAACACATACGCATAGACGCACGTAACCTTGTTACATGGCTTGAAAATGTCATTTAACATTTTTAAAATAATAGCTATATTCTTTACCCTAAAATAAGAATAAGGAATTGTACTATGAAATCTTTTAAATGTAAATAGATTTAAAAATTGAATTTTTTATTTCACATATGAGATATATGTATATATAAATTATCATGAGCATCAGTTTATGAATCACGTAATAAATTATGTGGCTACGTGTTATCGAACGCGGAACAGTTTTAGATGCTCAGTTTCAAATACGAGTATAGTAATCTATTATGTTGAATAACATATACGCACGCGCAATGCACGTGCTTACAATCATATAGGGATGCTTCATTCAACCTCTGGTGGCTGTAGTTTAGTTTCTGTGGAATATTCCGAAAATAAAACGATACCACTATTAGAAATTGGAAAAAAGAAAGAAACACGAGGTATATAGTAATGTTCATTCAATTACGTAAGTAAATTCGTCATGAATATGAGGCATTATCAGCATTTCAGGATTCATACTAAATTCACAACTGACTGTGATATTGCAGTGTAGTAGTAAAAACGAATTTGAATACCGATCATGAACCAGAGATCAAATTCGGTAGACATTCGGGATCTACAGGATATACAGACACCTTTTGAAGTTCCTTTATCTGGAGTTTACAAACGGTAAATAAAATTAATTACTTTAATTTAACCTAAGTATTGTAAATTATTTTTATGAAAGTATAATGTTTAGTATTCTACACAATATAATTAATGGTAATTGTACAATATAATAAGCTAATACAGATTAACTATTCCTTAATTTCAATATATTTATTGTACTTAAAAATGTGATATTCTGAAATCTACCATTTATTAACATTTTCGGTTGTTTTTACAGGAGTTTTGCTTATATAACAATTAAAGATAGATTACCAATAATTTTAACTAAAATAATTGATACTCTCAGTCGTAACAAGGAAGATATTGCACAAAAATATGGAAAGGTAACAATACGTTTAATGTAATCTAACAATATAAATTTAACATTCATCATTTTTTTAACTGTTTAGAATGCCACAGAGGAAATTAAACAAATTTCAGGATTTATTAGTAAATTAAAAAACGAAGTAGCAACAAATAAAACTTTAAAACCATTACGCTTGCTACGTGATAGTAAGGATAATGATGCAAAAGAATGGAATAAGTATTTAATAAAGAGAACTGAGATAGAAGGGGGAACTCCGACCTGGTTTAATACTGCATGGTTATATTGCGAATGCTATATGTACAGAGCACTTGCACAAGAGTTTGCTCTCATGTAAGTTCAAATAACAAGTTATATGACTATGAGCCAAATTTTTATTTTTATTTATTTATAGGGAATATATAACAAACTATGATCCTTTTGAACTTCAAAAACAGAATGCATTTACAAATTCAATGACTAGTGTAAAAGCAATGTCTACTTATACTATAAACCTTGTACATAAAGTGGAAAACCTATCAATAGTTGAAACTAAAGAGGAACTTTTTAAATTTTTTAAATCTAATCTTTGGGGTAACAAGTATGTTTAAGTTTAAATTTTTTTTTTTTTACTGTTATACTTTACATATAATTCTACCATCAAGATTATTGAAATATTTTTCTTGTAGATGTGATTTATCTCTAAGTGCTGGATCTGAAGTCGCTCAAACTAGTAATCCTATAGAGGTGTTAAAATCCTTAGATAAGGACATTCTTGTAGATAATTCAGAAATCATTTGGAATTTATTACAGAAGAAAGATAATAATAATGCAAATATTATAGATATAATACTTGATAATGCAGGATATGAACTTTTTACTGATTTATGCTTAGCTGTATTTTTAATTACAAACAAACTTGCAGAAAACATAAGATTTTATGTAAAACGCTATCCATGGTATGTAAGTGACACAACAACAAATGACTTTAAGTGGACTTTAGAATACATGAAAAATTCATCAGATAAAAGTATACAAGAATTAGCTAAATTATCTCACAACTATTTAAAGAACCATGTATGGACTATTGAGGTAATTACAAATTTTTTTTTCATATCACTTCAAAGAAATAATGATACAATGTCAATTCTTTTTATGTGCATTGTTCAGGAAGAACCATATTGGACAGGACCTTACGACTTTGCAGAGATGGAAGAACATGACCCAGTACTATATGCAAAATTATCAGAAGCTAAATTAGCAATATACAAAGGTGACTTGAATTATAGAAAATTATTAGGTGATATCAACTGGGAATATACAACAGAATTTAGACAAGCAATAAGAGGATTTCAGCCAACAAATATCCTATCCTTGAGAACAGTCAAATCTGATGTGTGTGCTGGTTTATTACCTGGCATAGCAGAAGAATTATTTAAAAAAGATGAAAATTGGATGTATACAGGACAATATGGACTTATTCAAACTAATATAGCTGGATCTTGTCAATGTTCTAACGAAATATGTTAAAATTTCATGAATCGCGAGATATTGTAAGCAGTGAATTATAAACAAATTTTAATATCCTGTTCCATATATTTTGTATTAAATATACTATTTACAATTTTGCTGTATTTCAGCTATTGTGTATTCAGTGTACATTATTGACTGTATATGTATATATATATATAGAGCTTAACAATTCATAATTACAAATGTCACATGCATAATCGAACTGTTACAATACTTAATGAACTCATATTTAATGAGTAGAGAGGATACTTTTATTTAAACTGTATAATACATGATTCAAGCTATGAAAATAATTATTAAAATCCCATATATAATCCCATAATAATATTTCAATAATTCTTTTTTTCAATTTTTCGTACAAATTTCTATGTATATACATTTTGTACCATATTATTATAGTCTTTGTAATTAAAATTTTCATACCACAAACTATTCTTCCTTGTATCTATAGATACAATACTGTACAAATATAGGACACATAATAAAATAAAATTGTATAGAATTCTACTGCAAAAACAATCGTGTTTCCTTGTTCTAAACTTCAATATGTTGAAATTTGTGTAAATAATGAGGAATAGATTTCATGTTCCTTATGTTTTCCTATACTTGATTTATCTTATTTTTGTGAATATTTAAATAATAAATCATTATTTTATTATTATATCATGTATATATTATTTCTAATAATAGTTTACAATTAATACTTATCATTTAATATAATCAAATGCATGTATTAATATACCAATCCATATTATAAACTCATTTTAATACACATTTTTTTTTCATTCATTAAAATCAAATTACACAAAATATTACTTATTTCAATATATAAGAGCATGAAAAAGCATTATTATATAGAATATATATTCCTCACTAAATTTAATGTACTTCAAAAATTTGTTTTCAATACAATGTACATAACATAATAAAATGTTTAAATTCTAAAAGTATACAATTTACAGTCATATGATATAAATGTGTTTGGAAAGGTATATTATTTATAATATAAATATATTTATATACAATCAAAAGAAACTAATGAATGAGAAATACTAAATATACTTTCTACAAAAATAATTTTCACATAATATTAATGTTATTATAGTAATTAAAATATACATACAGTGTTGTTATTAATTAGATCTAATATAACAATCAAAGTACCAATTGTAATAGATGCTCTTAGAATTGAATAATTTTTGATTTACCTATTTTAGTATTAGTTCTCCTATTTCAACAAAAATCCAAAAAATTCGAAGATAATATTATATATTTTAAAAGGATGTATAAGTAAATCAAATTTGAAATGAAAATATGGTGTTATAGACTACATACTTTAAAATATTTAACAAATGATACACAAACTAAACACTTATATGCAGCACCATATTTTGAACTTAAAAAAAATCCTACCAAGTGGCAGTAGAGCTCTTAGTGATTAAAAAATAAGTACTTCAATTTGCATTTATGTATCAATATGTAACATTCATGAATAAAGTAAATTTTCATTTGTGAAAGTATTAGTTACTATTAATAGCATTATAATAAATGCTAAAAATGCTTAATATTTATGAAATATACTTGTCCAGCAAGCTCTTTTTCAAGATAATATTTGTTTAAATTATCCTTTTAAACAAATTTTTTAATAATATGCAAATATAAAATTACGATATTTATTGACTATTTGTCACATTACAAGGAATTTAACAATAGCTCATAGTTTCAAAACTCTTTTAGTAAAATTTTTGTTATTTGGGATGCAGCATAATAGTATTTTAATGTTACAATAGCATAGTAAAAGAATCTATGTTTATAACTTCATAATACCAAGGCAGCAATATTAAGAAATTTTAGAATGTCTATTTTTTCAGCTCTTGTTTATTATTTTCAAAATGTGTATATTTGTCTATATGTACAAATAGAAATAAATTTACTGTTCTATAATATATTCAATTTGAACAGAAAATAAATTTATATATGGGAACCTTCAACATTATGAACAATACATTAAATGAAATATTTTTAGGTGGTTGAACATAAAAATTTTGTTGCATAGGTACAGAATATTTTAATAAACATTAATTAAACAAAGATTATATAAGCTGGTATTTTAAACTAAAGAAATCCTATATTACTAAAATAATTAAAGTAGTGGTATAGTTTAAATCTCAAAAGTACAAAAGTTGCATGTAGTAATCAAAGATATGAATATATTTGCAATTACTTAATGTCATTTAATGAGAATTCAAAAATTGTTACCCATGTATATTTGAAAGATATGAACCAAAAATTTATTATTTAGAAGATGATAATACATAACTTACATTTAAATCAATCTGATTAGCACAAATATTGTCAAAAATAATACACCTTCTATCATGAAGGTTAATATATATTTCCACAAATGAAATCTGTGAATTAAATACTCAGAAATGCCATTGTTAATTACACACTAAAAATATTGCGAATGTTTAAAGTTCATAATGAAAGAAGATAGAAACTTTTATGATTTTATTATATTAAAATAGATATATGATACGAAATATATTAAAAAATTAAATATTCTGATGACTTGTAATACTTGTATAGCTCGAAATTCGTTATAAAATGTTTAATATTTAAAAAAACATGTTCAATAAGAAATTATTTCGCGAAATTTATAAGCACAAGTGTATACTTCAAAGAAAGATGAAATATTTCTTAGTCAATTCAGACACATTTGAAAATTTGTAAATAATATTAGTAATATATGTTGCTGATATTTACTTACATCTTTCCATTTTGTTAGAAGTCTAATAACAGTTATTCTTCAAAAATCCGTGTTCATGTTTAATCTCGTTTGGCTTTGCTGTTCTTACAAAGTGATTCACTAATCGTAACAGATGATTATCCCCACTTTATATTCTTTCTATTTACGTATCACATCGTATAATGTTAGTAATAGTAACATATATACGATGAACTAGTAACAATATTTATTGATAATGTACGTATCGCATATTAATTGAAGACATTGACTTCGATATTCGTTTGTTACCTCGACTATTCGCGCGTTACATTTAATCATAGAACATTGCGATACATCGAGAAGGGTTTGAATATGTTAGAAATGACGTTCATAAATTACTTTTGACATCTGAGCACTTTACTGCCACCTAATGAAGCTATAAATGTACTTATTAAAAAAAAAAAAAAAAAAAAAAAAAATGAAGAAAAAGAAATTTTGAAAATATATCTACTATAATCCAGTTTTATATAAAGAAGAGATATAAAGAAACAGTAAAAATTCCTTATCATTGTCACAACTGTGCAAAGAATTACTTTCATCGCTTTAACATTCAGACAACTAGCAGAAATGTGGCACTTGATCCGACATTAAGTGTCGACCACATAATTATCGCGTCTATAAACATATTTGCAGTCCATGTGCAGACACAGACACTGAGAAGATATGGGACAGAACTCAGTACAGTGCAATCTTTCGTTCCTGAGCTGACACAGTAGTACCCCACACGCAAAGTACTCATTCACACCATAAATTTTGTTTTTTTTTCTTTTTGTGGTAATATTTAAATATGAACATTCGTAATTCAACTACCAAATGTATTAAATAACAATAATGGAAATGACTAATATTCTAAGCCTGTTTTACACAGTCGGGTTTAAGATATTTGGTCTGAATTGTATGATCATTAACAATGATTGCAGCTATTTTGTTTCAGATTGCAACTAAAATTCATATAAAATTGATAGTCCCAAGTATTCATGCTAGTACCCAGTATTTGCTTTATACACTTGTAAATTGTGAAAGGACTGTTACTTAGTGAATGTAGCAAATACTGCCCAAAGGACTGGATTAGCATTAGGTTTAGCAGCTTCTGCTTCAAAATCAAGATCCAGTAATGTCCGCACTCGTCGCATCCCTACTTCATAATCGTCATCTGAGAGAGGTGCAAACGCATTTTCTAATACATCAGCTGCATGAGCTAAAATGACTAAAGCTAGTGTTCGCCTATCCATACGACCTGCATCATTGACCCAACGGCTCAATACAGCTTCTTGAATCTGAAAAATATAAAAAATGCATTTCTCTACTATCTCTTGTAATAATATTCAAATATTACTGACAAGATATAGAACATTTTAAATAATATGAAATATTATTAAACAATGTAGAAATATCACTTCAAATAACAATAAGGAAATTATGTTGTAACTCAAATATAATTACTTAATTAAAAAGCTAAAATTATAATCCAGGTATGTATTAAACCAAATATCAAGCAGGATTTAACTGAGTTATTTTTATAATTTGAAAATAAAATAAATGAATATAAAAAATAGTGCTTCAATAATGAATTAATTTACCTTTTTTACAAGTCTGCTTTTAGCAAGATTATCAGTAAGAGGATGAGTTGTCATATCAAAAAGTAAGAAATTCTGTTTTTCAGTTGTTAGAACTCCTTTTTCAACAAGATTTTTAGCTAATCTTTCTCTAACATTCTTCAACTGATATCTTAATTTCAATGGGTTCCATGTCTCTCCTAAATAAGAAAAAGCATAAAATATTTGATAAAACTTGACAACAAATACATTTCCAAATGAAAAAAACTAATACTAACCACTGAGATATTCAATCCAACTAGGAACAGTTTCAGGTGGTTCAGTTTCTTTCAAGTGTTTTAGAGCTTCGTCTAACAAAACGTCTCCTGTTGGAGCATCATTTTTCAATAGAAGTTTCCTTACTAATAGCCCCTTTTTGCGCATACCAGCTTTCTCTAATTCTACACGACCACGGAATCCAAGTTCTGCCAAGATACAACCACGTAAACCAGAACTTATGCAATCATTCCAAAATGATGTGTAACCCTGTACAAAGACATATCTTCAAATTCAAGTATCAATTCATTGATTTTAATAGATATGTTAGAAAATTAATTAGATATAGGATTAAAGAAAATAATATCAACAAACCTCTTTGTCTTTAAGACCAAGCAATAAAACTTCCTCCATGAGTGTCAATCTTGTTTCCTTATCAGAATCGTCGTCAATCTTGGGATTTGAATTAAGATCTTTTTGCATGCTACAGTCTGAATCCATGCCATGGCCAGATAGTTTATCATTATGGCCAATATCGTTTGAACCATCCTGGCCTACACCACTACCACTACTGCTATTAACCACACGTCGTCGTTGTACCAATCCGTCAGTGCGATTCATCATTTGACAAAGCTGTGCTTTCTGTACGATTACGTCCGCGTGTCAAATACGCCACCGTGTCGCCTTTACTTCCGATGATTAGATGTGTAGTCAACCGTAGTTAAAGCAAGCTGGCGGCATGTATCGAATAATATACACTATATTGTTGACGTTTTAACAGATACGACATATCTTTCCAAGATGGCCAATCTTCACGGACGTCGTTATTTTGTTACACAAATATTCCCTATTTTTGTTACAATTATATTATACGTAATCAGGAACAAGCCTGTATACGTTACGCGTAATACTATCGTTCTGAACGTAGTTCGTTGTTTCGGCGATATATTTACCTCGGCGCTAATGTTTTCAGCAAGAAACCTATTGCAATTCAATTGAAGCCCTCTCAACACTCATCGAACCTAGGATGCGAATCGCGCACCGTGTGTTACAAACGTTTAGAACGCTCACTCAACCTAGAAAATGCAATCTCTTTGCTCGGTCGGTATCTCTACTCGCGATCGTCGCGCCAAGTTTTGCATTAGAGTTGCGCGAATGTTTCAAAAGCGTGTAACCCATATGATTAGTTTTTATAAACCTTGCTCACTCCGCGCGCAAAATTGTTCGAGAAATTTAAACGTCTCGTTCTTATTGTTGTCGTCGTGATATGTATCGTATTATTTAATAAAAATTCTAATATTTCGAGTACGTTTGTGTTGAAAAATGAAGATATATTTTGAATCATGGTATTTATCAATAAATACATCGATACGATTGTCATCGATCGACGATATTCAGCCAAATATTGATTATTAGTAATTAAATACGTATATAAATTTTCAGAAAACCACGAAACTAAAATGTTATTCTTGCTGATACAATATTGTTTAACTCGAATCGAAGAATGGTGCGTAGTATAATCTTTTATTCATACAATATACTTTCTCAATTAATTCATAACCACAAAAAGCAGACAACATACCGAAATAGGTTAACTTCGTTGTACTTCAAGTGGAAACAGACACGTAATACGATGTCTACGAACATACAAAGGGTACTCTATTTTTAATGGCATAATATACTTTACAATAGACAGGAATGCGATTACATGACACGGTGCGTTCAAAGCCTGTTCCATTTCTGACAATAACATCGCACAATGAACCCTCCGGTGAACTCGATTTTTCCGTACATTGTGAAGAACGGAATAAAACGAATTTGCTTGAACATTTGCCAAATAACGGAATAACGTAACCCGGATAAGATACGTATCTTTTCTTATTGTAATCAATGTGCTAACCATGGTTCTAGTTTATCAGATCGCAACATTTGCGTCTAGAGCACTTAATTACCCTCTGGAAGAGAACAAATCTACACGATGCAAATTACTAATCACATCGTCATTATAAATTATAATTCTGCAGTAACTTACAATTCCACTTGAACAGATACTAGTCAAGTCGGCGTAGTATATCACTGTTTTATCAGACGAATATTTCTCTTAACCACAATACATGGTGGAAAGCACGGCCATTCGATGTAGCTGATATTGCTCCCGTCTGATAATAACACGAGCAACATTAACGCCAAAGGACCAGAGGGTTTTCACGTGCAACGTGTATTCCAGCATACATTATCGCAGGATAAAGGGGAAGTCGCTTGCATATGGCCAGAGCAATGGGAAAAAATTTGCTCGTCATTCTGTTGCTCTTGTAAACTTGCATATGGAACCAGTAACATGGGACACGGTAACGATCAATTTTTATTGCTCGTGAACAATGGAGCGAAACGAAAATTACAGCCCAGTCGCGAGGTTTGCCTCGTCGTTTCACAGCGAAACATTAAGTTTTACAGTTAAACTATACACGTGTCCTCGAAAGTACCAATAAAGTGATACGTGTTCTCGTGCATACGATATGTGTCCGCATCACTCGATGATGCGTGACGCTTTGAAAGCGTGACGCTTTGTACGAACGATCGTCTTGTGGTAAATCTAGAAAATCAACGTATTGTGATTGTCGAACAATGAGCCAGGAAGATATCTAAACAGTCATGGTCGGAGATTATAGCATAAGGAATATGCAAGTTATAAATAAAGATCGAAATATTGGTCGTGACTATGATGTGAGATCTCACGACTCAAATTATATCGGTAAATATACTTCGAACGGAATAATTGAACGGAAAGAAAATTTGCCTTGAACAAAAATATATGCATGCAAATTATTATGTATTTATTTATTTATTTATTAAACAGGAAAACTTATTAGAATGCAAAGAAAATGAACGCATGCGGAGTTTACAAGTTTCTTAAAATAAAACTACGGCAAACATTCAGAGAAACACAAAAAGTTTTATTGCTTGATTATTATTTGCTAAGGAAGTGATTCGACATATAGGATCGGTATTTGAGAATCTTGATTTGTAACAGACAGGCCGGAATGTACGTAGATTATTAGATAATGGAATTTATCAGAAGCAACGAGATATTTATTCCAATCCCGCTTTTATAGTATTTTTTTTTCCTGTCACATTACTTTGTGCCTGCTTTTCTTTTTCATTTATATTCAACTCGCAGCTTCGGCATACCTGCATGTTCGGCTATCCATCGCGTTAGAAAAAATGTAAAACATTTTGTATTCAAGCGAGGTAAGAGTAATCACTGTATTATCGGGGTTAGTGACACTACAGCCGATCCTGGTGTACATTGATATTGAGCTTAATGACCGTTTCCCGGCGCTCAATGTCAACTGTTCAATGTCGGTGCCCACATTTGCATGAAGCACGAGTAGGAAAGTTGCGGGTATGGAGGAGTACTAATATAACGATAACATATTCGCGAACGAGGTACACTATTCCTTTCATTTATTTCACTAATATAGAAAATGATTTTTACTGATATTCACGTTTCTGAGAACCTGAATATTCATTAATACAATGCAAACTTTTTACTGTACTATATTAATGAAGTAAAACAATAATATAGCAGTGTGTTAGTGCATTAAAATAGTAATACTATAACATATTAGTACAATGTAATCTTTCCTTATTTGTTTCCTCATATAAAAAATACTTTAATATCCATTTTAAAAAATATTTTTATTTTTAATTTTGATTTAGTTCAGTTTTAATAAAGCGATGATAATTGAAATACACTATGCTTTTCATTTAACTTCATGTTATAAAAAATACATATTGCCAATATTTACATTTCTAAGAACTGTATTTTATATTTATATGGTGCTAATTTCTTACTACATTATACGAATACAGTACATTTCTCCTTGGTATTTATAGTAGTAATTGAAAGTAATAGTAATTAAAGAAAAAAGATAAATGTATGTTATCGAATTCAAATGATTATAATTTTTATAATTTATTGTATTCGCGATCTTTTTCTTCCTTTTGATGTGTTAACAATTTTCTCTATAAGTTCAAATGTCACGTGCTTAATGCAAACAGTTAAACGCTGAAATGTCACAAATCTTTTCTCACACTCCTTTCCCCATGCAGTTCGGATAAGGATAATTCCCCTTTCCTGCTCAATGTCAATTCCACGCCTATACGACATCGCTGCATAACTTTAAACTGTACAATGACATAAATAGAGGAAAGAACAACGGAAATGAAGGCAGTTACACTCCAGATCACGACAAAGAATGTAACTTTCGAAACAATATATCCAACCAATTAATTTTTCAAACTTACGCGTGCCAGAAAAGCTTCAACGCGTTCTTACAATTACATCCAACCATGTTCCAAATTATTAAAAAAATTACAAGAATCTCCAATTAAACCAGGAAAAAGGAATCCCGGAGATCGAACGAGTAAAGTGTCTCGAATCGTTGTTAAACCTGCAATCCTATCGAGAGTAAGTAAAATTTACCCAGACAAGCCATATATTTGTCGCAAGGAACACGTAATCTCGTACATCGACCACTTGATTAAACATTACGATGTATCCGAGCAAAGGTTCGCATAGGATTCCAATATTCCCCAGGAACAGGTTATATTTAAGCATCCCTTGCGAAGAGATCGCGACATTTGCATGAAATTTGATCATTTATCACTCAGAAACGGGAATGAGAACGCAAAATGCTCGAAACGGATGTGCACGCGTGTCAATAGCTCACGAAAGTGTCCCGAGACCCAATCTCCCATATACCAAGGAACAAACCGATTTATATATAAATCGATTCAACCGAGCAACGACGAGAGATTATGAGCGACAGAGCAGATTGTCACTGTACAATTTCTATTTACACAGAGAGAAAGGGAGATACTCGGCGGTGAAGAGAGAGAAAAAGAGAAAGAGAAGGTAGGAATCGAGGCTGTCGGTGAAGGCGCAACGAGAGGCACGTTCAGTCGCCCGGACCCGCTCGGTCGGTCTAAACAGACGGTACCTGATCGTACTCACCGCGATCGCAGTGGCTCTGTCAGGTCTTCAATCGTGTATCGCGAAACGTCTCTGCTTAATTGTGCACTCTTCGAGGAAACGCAGGCATATACACCACAGGAAGGATACACTGATAGGCAAAGGAACGACGATGACTCAGTGGGACCACTGTTGAACGCCATCAATTCTTTACGAGGACCAGGTATCAGGTAGGTCTAAAGAATTTGCTAACTTATGAGAGTAACGTGTCCGAATAACAGTCTTTGGAGAACGACGTTACTCACTGGTTATTATTTTCGTTATGTAACACGATCTTCGTTTCGCCAGGAATTATTTGCTCTTTCCGTTACGAAGATCGTGATAACGATAACACGGTAGGCATTCGGACTGGGACAGCTGTTAAAATATTTCACCAACCACCAGTTGGATATTCCTATGTCTAGACGTAAGTCGATCAAAGGATCTCCAGCAGAGTTTTCTTTCATAGTATGGAACAATCTACAGGAGTCTGATTTTATTCGACTAACTGGATTATTCATGTTCTATTGTTTGTGCGCTAAAAACGCACTGTTATTGGTAATTGCACCGTTTAGACCGCGTTTCAAGCAATCTGTCGATATCGTGCATGGGAATATTCATCGCTTTATCGACGCTATCAGTTCGATTCGCGTGTAAATTGCATTGTTACTCCGCACACATGCTTGAAATTTCAAGCATCGGAATTTCATTCGCGCGCTTCGCCTGCTCCTGTGCGAATCATTGCCTGGTTGCGCCCAAGTCTCACAAAAGGGAAACCATGGGAAGAATCACGTAATCATATTATTCATAATTAACGAGAACGCTTTACGACGCTTCGAAGACGCCACTTTAACTATGTGAACGACGTATTACCATGGTTACCATTTCGGAGATGCTAGGTTAATAGCCAGGATCTGTGTACAGCTGATCCCCAGGAAGTTTCTCAGCCATGTTCCTCGTCTTTCTGTCATTTCTTCTCGGGTTTGCTTTATCCGAAGTTAA